CTGCTTCCCATGCTGCTTCCCATGCTTCTTCCGCAGGCTTCTTCCCAGGCTTCTTCCCATGCTCTTCCCCATGCTCTTCCCATGCTTCTCCCATGCTTCTTGCCCAGGGCTTTCTTCCCATGGCTCTTCCCCCAGCTTCTTCCCATGGCTCTTTCCCCATGCTTCTTCCAGGGCTAACTTCCCAGGTTCTTCCCATGCCTTCTTTCCATGGCTCTTTCCCATGCTTCTTTCCAGGCTTGCTTCCAGGGTTCTTCATGGCTTTCTTCCCATGCTTCTTCCCAATGGTTCTTCCAATGCTGCTTCCAATGCTTCTTTCCATGCTTCCTTTCCATGCTTCTGTCCCATGCTGCTTCCCATGCTTCTTCCATGCTTTTCCATGCTTCTCCATGCTTCTTCCAGGCTTCTTTCCAGGCTTCTTTCCATGCTTCTCCCATGCTCTTCCATGCTTCCTTCCAATGCTGCTTCCCATGGCTTCTTCCCATGCTTCTTCCCATGGTGCTTCCCATGTTTTCTCATGCTGCTTCCCCATGGCTCTTACATGCTGCTTCCCATGGCTGCTTTTCCCATGCTGCTTCCCATGCTTCTTCCATGCTGCTTCCCATGCTGGCTTCCCAGGCTTCTTCCAGGCTTCTTCCCAGCCTTCTTCCCATGCTTCATTCCCATGCTTCTTCCATGCTTCTTCCCATGGTTCTTCCAGGCTTTCTTCCCATGGGCTGCCTTCCATGCTTCTTCCCATGCTTCTTTCCATGCTTCTTCCGGCTACTTCCCAGGGCTTCATTCCCCATGCTTCTGTCCCATGCTTCTTCCCATGCTTTTCCCAGGTTCTTCCAGGCTTCTTCCATGCTTCTTCCCATGCTTCTGCCATGCTCTCCAATGGCTGTTCCATGCTTTCTTCCCATGCTCTTCCCCATGGCTTCTGTCCCCATGCTGCTTCCCAGCTTCTTCCCATGCTTCTTCCATGCTTCTTCCCATGTTCTTCCCGGTTCTTTCCCAGTTCTTCCCATGCTTCTTTCCCATGGGCATTCTTTCCCATGCTTCTTCCCAATGCTGGCTTCCATGCTTCTTCCCATGCTTCTTCCATGGTGCTTCCATGTTTCTTTTCCATGCTGTTCCCAGCCTTCTTACCATGCTGCTTTCCATGCTGGCTTTCCCATGCTCCTTCCCATGCTTCTCATGGCTCTTCCATGCTTCTTCCCATGCCTCCTTCCCCATGGCTGCTTTCCATGGCTGTTCCCATGCTGCCTTCCATGCTGCTTCCATGCTGGCTCCCAGCTGCTCGCGGTTCCCATGCTCCCATCTCCAATGGCCCCATCCCCGTTCTTCCCATGCCCATGCTTCCAGCTGCCCATGCGTCCCATGCTCTCCTGTGCCCCAGCTCCATGGCCCCCATGCGCTCCCCAGCTGGTTCCTGCGACATGGCTCCCATGCTGCCCATGTCCATGCTTTTCCATGCTGCTTCCATGCTCTTCCCATGCCTTCTTCCATGCTCCTTCCCATGGCCTTTCCATTGGCTGCTCTCCCCATGCGGCTTTCCCATGTTCTTTTTCCATGCTTTTCCCATGCTGCTTCCCATGCTGCTTTCCCTGCTCTTACATGCTGCTTCCCATGCTGTTCCCATGCTCCTTCCCATGCTCTTTCCCATGCTCCTTCCATGCTTCTTTCCTGCTCCTTCCCATGCTGCTTCCCATGCTGGCTTCCCCATGCTGCTTTCCCATGCTGCCTTCCCATGCTGGCTTCCATGCTTCTTTCCCATGCTTCTTCCCATGGCTGCTTCGCGTGCTTCTTCCATGCTTCTTCCCATGGCTCTTTCCAATGCTGCTTTCCATGCTCCTCCCATGCTTCCTTTCATGCTCTTTTCCATGCTCTTCCCATGCTGCTATCCCCATGCTCTTCCATGGCTTCCTCCCAATGCTGCTTCCCATGTTTCCCCATGCTGCTTCCATGCCTTCACATGCTTCTTCCATGGCTCTTCCATGGTGTTTCCCATGCTGCTCCCCATGCTGCTTTCCCATGGCTCCTTCCATGCCT